GCTATTATGTAGGGGTGATGCAAATATGTCATCCCTACTATGTTGTTTTCATTGTTTTTGAAGGATTGATATTAGCCATCCCTGCATTTACTTCCTTTTTTGAAAAGTTTTTTCTTTTCTTAGCCATTATTATGCCCACAAAATGCCCACACAATACAGTGTTTAAAAAAAAAGAACGTCTGGAGTTCTGTACAAGGAACTGTTTGCCTTTACTGGCAAAAACATGGTCGTAATAAATGATGTCTTTGTGAATTGTACAACTGTCTTATTTTTCCTCAATTCTATAAATTACATTAGCAAACCCATGGGTCTATGGCCCACATTTATAGGGCCACTATAATGCAAATTTAATGCTTGAACTACTATTTTGCACTTTTTCTTTGCCATTACAATGCAAATTTAATTTTTTTAACCAAGTTACAAACAGTAATTAGTAGGCCTACTTATTCATGTGCTCTAATGTAAATTATTGTAAAATTGTGGGTCTGCTTTCTGGGAATCCCCATAAAAGTGTTTTTGAGAAATACCTGGGTTCCCTAAGGGGTTGGGTGAGAAATTTTACCTTTGTGCAAACCTCAGGGCCAAGATGATTCATTTGGCACCATTTAGTAAACTCGTGGACCTATGGCCCACATTTACAGGGCTGCTATAATACAAATTTAATGCTTGAACTACTAAGGGGTTGGGTGAAAAATTTTATCTTTGTGCAAACCTCGGGGCCAAGACAATTCATTTGGCACCATTTAGCAAACCCATGGGCTTATGGCCTACATTTACTGGGTTGCTATAATGCAAATTTAATGCTTGACCTACTATTTTGCACTTTTTTAGTTTAATGATCATTGCCGCCATAATGCAAGTTTAATTTCTTTAACCAAGTTACAAATGGTAATTAGTAGGCCTACATATATCTGGATTCCTCAAGAGGTGGGGTGAAAAATTTTATCTTTTTGCAAACCTCAAGACTGAGACAATTCATTTGGTATCCCATACAAGTTAGTGCATCCAGCGGTTTAGAAGGAGTTACTTGACACACAGACACTGAATCTTATTATACAGATTTATGTAACACATACTTTTATTTCCTTAGAATTGTTGTGCCGAGGTACATAAAGGATTAACTGCAAATAACCATCTAATACTTTGAACAGACAGACTAGAGGAAAGGCAGCTATTCAAAAGTACCCACCACCAACTCTTGGGCTACTCTTATCTGACTGAACAGTGGGATTTAATAATGACTCTTAAAGTGCACCCACAGCCTCAAAGTGAATAATATGTTTTTGTAGCAACAGGATAAGAACCACAAACCTTCGGATTCACAGTTCAAGCATGCTAACCACTAAGCCACATCCAACCCTTAATACATATCAAATAATTCAATTTCATTTAATATATACATATGTACACTGAGTGGTCACAAGTAAATAGACACCACCTTTTCAGAAAAAATGAAAATTTTCAGTCATATTCACAT